AGGTAGGGGGTGGGGGTAAGGGGAGTGTTGTGTTGTTTAAACAACAAAAACACACATAAGACCTCAGACGGTTAGAAAGCTCATTAAGACACGGCCCCGTGGTCTTGGCCCGAAGGAGTCGGGTCCCCTTCACCTGGCGCCTGCCCGGCCGATCAATCCTCTTCCTCATTTTGTCAGTCGTGCCTAGCATGCCCTCGTCCCCAGCTCAGACCTGTCCCCACGGCTCTTGCCCGGGGAAGGGAATGTGCCTCCTCAAAAGCCCTACAGAAAACGAAGAGGGGGAAGGATGGATGGCAGAGGGGAACCAAGGAGACTCGCAGCCAAACGGGTGGCATTGCCTCCACAAACACACAAGACCATTTCAAGCAAGACAAGGGCGAGGGCATGAGTGCCAGCACAACCCACAAGGAAGCCTGCAAAGTCCATTTCCAGCAGGAAAGCTCCAAGTTAACTCAGCCCTTGCAGGGCCAGGCTGTCCTACCCCACCTTGAGCGTACGGTGTCCAGTTCAAGTTTCAGCAAGCATCTGTTAGAGTTATTTTTGCAAGTCAAATTACACAGATCTAAAGAGAAGTTAGGCGACAGAACAAGGAGATCAATTCAAAACCCTCATCTGATAAAGCATCCTATTCATAATCGCCTACATTAAAATAAACGAGTATTAATTTTTGGCAACACAAAACCGGAGGACTGAGATAAGCTTGCCTGAACTTGCCTCTGGGATACAGTGGACGCATCTCCTCTTTTTAATTAGTAGTAATCAGACATGAGGGTTTGTTTGATGGTGTTGGTCGAGTGATGAATCTGTACTATTCAGTGCATCTTAACAGTAGTGTCAATTTTTCCACTTCAAACAACACTCTTTCCTTAACACTGTTCTGCTCTATTTAATTACAATTCTGCCAGGCTTTGGCTTGTTGCTCAAGATGATGACCGAAAAACACCATTAAAGCCCCCCATGTGCTGATTTTCTAGCATTTCTCTCTAAAAATAACCCCAAAACTAGCAAAGCTGAGGCTCCGATTCCTCAGATACCGAGGGCTGTGTTTCTTCTACTGCACTGACCAAAGATGCAGCCATGTATCAGGACAGAGGCTGCACTATCAGAGTAATCAAGTCTTAACTCCGTCCTTTTAGACTAAGGAGGTCTCGGTGCATATGCACACATGCAGAACAGTCCTGATCTGCTCAAACAGAAGTCAACTTTTACAACATAAGCAAATTTCTAACATGCGCTTTTTTTTTTTTTCCCCATAGAAAGGAAGAAAAAAAATGTAGAACTTTTTGGCTATCAGGGAGAAGAAAAAACCTGGGTTAATTCTTGACATTTACTGTAAATGAGAAGCCAGAAGCATCTAAACAAAACACAGTTTGTTTTAACTGAGCATTTCTGTTATACCGGGAAGATATGGGGCTTTTTTTTTTTTTTTAATTACTGAATGTTGAAATAGAACACCTCCTTGAAGCATTCATGTGCATCAGTCTATCAAACCATTTACTCAAATTAAATGTGTAATCCTTCAAAATGCCTCCTTTTAAATTAATGAGTTTAAGTAGCTTGAGTTCACCTGAAAAGATCGTACGGGCACCTGACCTCAGGAATTCTTTCTATTAATTATATTGGAAACTCGTTGGAAGGGATACTCTGCGTAATCTTACTGTACCCCAACAGATGCGAGATTAATAAGGCTTAGTTCCCCCTACCCAAATCTGTGGCATTTAAAGCAGACAGCTTCAAAAAGAGATAAGAAATAAAGGGCAAAAGTATATCTCTCCTCTCCTACCCCCTGCATTTTCTATACTGGAAGTTAAGAAAAATGTCGGTTCAAAGCTTCGCTGTAACAATGTGAAGACAAACACTATACCACTGTTTTGGGCTCTAAGTAGAATCGGTGGCCCTCAAACTGACGGTTAATCAGCTCTTTCACAAGGAGAACAGAGAATGAGTCATTCTGTTTCCACTCAAAGGAGTTTAAAGGTGCTTATGTAAATATCATAATTAATCAGATACTAAAGGCAGGCATTTCATTATTTAGCACCTCTGCCACAGCCTTATTTAAGCCGTACGATTTTAACATTTACCGTTCAGATATGCACACTTCTCCTTCAACACTACAACAAAGCAGATTAATTTAGCCTCTCTGATTGCTGTTTATTTTTAGTTAGGACTTGTTTTGTGCTGACAAACCACTTTAAAGTTACAGTCGTCGTTCCGCCCCCCCCCCACCTCTTCCCTCCACTTGGCAGTCGCCACTGCGCCCTGGGCTAGGCGCTAACATCCGCACCCGCATGTCTCCCCGCTCCTCACGAAGGAGCGATCTGGGACCAGCCCCCCCCGCCCCGCGGGCACCCACATCGCCAGAAATAAAGGGGGGGGAAGTAAGAAAAAA